TGGCCTCCAGACAGCCTAGATGACCTTCAAGATGCCCACGTGTTCCCCGAAGGCTTTCCAAACCGATTCGGGGAACACATGGTCCGATAGCTTGGCAGGTCTGGCCTCAACTTTCGGCCACATAGGCGCTTCCAAAAAGGCAGGGGGCGGCGGTGATTCGCCGTAGGCGTCTTCGATCCGCCGCCCCCTGTCGATTCATCGCAGGGGTGCCTGGCGTGCTAGACCCTCTCGGTTTTGGTTTTGGCCCTTTTTCCAAAAGAACTCCCTCTGGGCCTCCGGCGCGTCCCGCCGGCCACCCGGAAACTGCACAAGTCAATGCCTGTTCCGCCCCAAGATGGCCCAAAATGGTCCCAAGACGGCCAAGATGGCCCAGGATTGCCGCGAAGATGCCTCCAAGACAGCCAAAATGGCTTCCAAGACGGCGAAGATGGCCCCAAGATGCATCCAAGACGGCCCAAAATGGCCTCAAGATGGTCTAAGACGGCCCAAAAGGCCCGCAAGAGGCCTCCAAGACGGCCCAAGAGGCTTCCAAGGTCCTCCAGGAAAGCCCGAAAAGGCCAAAATCATTGTTTTTTTTCTGTGGCTTTTGCAGGATTTTGGAATTTGCGCCTTTTCGGCTTTCCGACGGCCCAAGTCGGCCCAAGAGGCCCCCAAGATCGCCCCAAGATCGCCCGAGAGGCCCCCAAGAGGGCCCCATGACGGCCCAAGTGGCCTCCAAGACGGCCCCAAGAGGGCACTAAGATGGCCCAAGAGGCCTCCAACACGCCCAAGATGGCCTCCAAGACGCCCAAGATGGCCTCCAAGACGGCCCCGAACCGGCCCAAGAGGGCCCCAAGTCGGCCCAGAAAGGTCCCCAAGACGGCTCCCGACAGCGTCAGACGTGCCAGGAACCCACCAAGATGGCCGAAGTTGGCTCGAAGCTGGCCCAAGACGGCCCAAGAGGCCCCCAAGAGGGCCCCCAGGAAGGCCAGAAAAGGCCCAAAACATTGATTTTCCGCTGCTTTTTTAATTATCCCGGCAAAGCAACCTAACAGCGATGTGTAGAAGCATATCTGAAAGCATTCCCCTTAAGATTCAGATGAAAATCCAGTTGTCGAATTCTGCTGTTCTCGCAGTCGTAGTCGCATTCGCGATGACAGTCGCAGCGGCAACGGCAGTCGCAGTCACAGCCTCAGCCTCAGCCTCCTCCTCCTCCTCTTTCTCCTGCTCCTCCTCCTCCTCCTCCTCCTCCTCCTCTTCCTCCTGCTCGTCCTCGTTCTCGTCCTCCTCGTCTTGCTCGTCCTCCTCCTCCTGGTGCTCTCTCCTCCTCCTCCTCCTCCTCCTCCTCCTCCTCCTCCTCCTGGTGGTCCTCGTTCTCCTCCTCCTGGTGCTCTCCCCCCCCCTCCTCCTCCTCGTCCTCCTCCTCCTCCTCCTCCTCGTCCTCCTCCTCCTCTTCCTCCTCCTCCTCCTCCTCCTCCTCCTCCTGGTAGTCCTCCCCCTCCCCTCCTCCTCCTCCTCCTCCTCTTCCTGGTCGTCCTCGTTCTCGTCCTCCTCGTCTTGCTCGTCCTCCTCCTCCTGGTGTTCTCTCCTCCTCCTCCTCCTCCTCCTCCTCCTCCTCCTCCTCCTGGTGGTCCTCGTTCTCCTCCTCCTGGTACTCTCCCCCCCCCTCCTCCTCCTCCTCCTCGTCCTCGTCCTCCTCCTCCTCCTCCTCCTCTTCCTCCTCCTCCTCCTCCTCCTCCTCCTCCTCCTCCTCCTCCTCCTCCTCCTCCTCCTCCTGGTACTCCTCCCCCTCCCCTCCTCCTCCTCCTCCTCCTCCTCCTGGTCGTCCTCCTCCTCCTGGTCGTCCTCCTCCTCCTGCTCGTCCTCCTCCTCCTCCTCCTGCTCGTCCTTCTTCTCCTGCTCCTCCTGCTCCTCGTCCTGCTCCTGCTCGTCCTCGTCCTCCTGGTCTTGCTCGTCCTCCTCCTCGTCGTGCTCTTGCCCCTGCTGAAAATGTGGCCCAGGAATGGGAGTTCTGGGAAGTCGAAGAGCACGAAGTTGCCTACAGTTGGCTACGGGCATTCAAAATGTGGCCCGGGAATGGAGTTCTGGGAACTCGAAGAGCACGAAGTGGCCTACAGTTGGCTCCGGGCATTCAAAATGTGGCCCGGGAATGGAGTTCTGGGAACTCGAAGAGCACGAAGTGGCCTACAGTTGGCTCCGGGCATTCAAAATGTGGCCCGGGAATGGAGTTCTGGGAAATAGAAGAGCACGAAGTGGCCTACTGTTGGCTCCGGGCATCCAAAATGTGGCCCGGGAATGGAGTTCTGGGAACTCGAAGAGCACGAAGTGTGTGACTGTTGGTGAAAAACGAAGTGGACACAACCCGCCCGGCAACTCCCAACACCTGCCCGGACCCCCCTGTGGAGTGATCTGTGACCTCTTTTGAGACTACTAGAAACCTATCAGTCTTCGCTGTTAGGTAAAAACGGATTTTGACAGTTGCTTCTTTTCGGCCTTCCGACGGCCTTCCGACGGCCCAAGAGCCCCCAAAGATCGCCGGAAGTTCTCCTAAGAGGCCTCCAAAATGGCCCCAGAACGGCCCAAGAGGGCCCCAAGACGGCCCCAAGAGGGCCCCCAAGACGGCACAGGAGACCATTAAAACGCCCAAGATGGCCTCCAAGCAGGCCCCAAGTCGGCCCAGAGAGACCCCCCAAACGGCTTCCGACGGCGTCAGACGGAGCAGGAGCCCACCAAGACGGCCGAACATGGTCCTAAAATGGCTCAAGACGGCACAAGAGGCCTCCAAGAGGGCCTCCAGGAAGGCCTGAAAAGGCAATCATCATTGGTTTCCCATGGGTTTTGAACAATTGTGGCACTTGCTTTTTTCTGCCGTCCGACGGCCCGAGACGGCCCAATTGCCCCAAAAGATCGCCCAAGAGGCCCAAGACACGGCCCCAAGAGGCCCCCAAAACGGCCCCAGAGGTCTCCAAGACGCTCAAGATGGCCTCCAAGACGGCCCAAGAGCCCTGCAAGATGTCCTCCAAGAAGGCCCGAAAAGGTAGCTTGGCAGGTCTGGCCTCAACGTTCGGCCACATAGGCGCTTCCAAAAAGGCAGGGAGCGGCGGTGATTCGCCGTAGGCGTCTTTCCGTCGCCCCCTGTCGATTCATCGCAGGGGCGCCTGGCGTGCTAGACCCTTTCGGTTCTGGTTTTGGTTCTTTCCAAAAGAACTCCCCCTGGGCCTCCAGCGCGTCCCGCCGGCCACCCGGAGAGGTGCCCAATTGCACAATGTTTCCTCCGAGACGCCTCAAGATGACCTCAATAATGGCCACGTTGGCCCAAGATGCCCTCCAAGATGGTCCAAGATGGCCTCCAAGTCCGCCCGAGAGAGGAGGAGATGCCTCCAACTCCGCCCAAGAAGCCTCCAAGACGGCCCAAGAGGTGCCCAAGAGGCCCAAGAGGCCTCCAAGAGGTCCTCCAGAAGGGCCCGAAGAGGCCAACATTATTGTTTTTCCTTAGGATTTTAAAGGTTGCTCGTGTTTGCTACTTTTCGTCTTTCCGACGACCCAAGACGGCCCAAGAGGCCCCCAAGATCGCTCCCACAGCGCCCAAGAGGCCTCCAAGATGACCTCAGGACTGCCCAAGAGGCCCCCAAGACGGCCCCAACAGGGCACAAAGACGTCCCAAGAGGCATCCAAGACGCCCAAGATGGCCTCTAAGACGGCCCTGGAGCACCCCAAGAGGGCCCCAAGTCGGCCCAGAGAGACCCCCAAACGGCGTCCGACGAGGTCAGACGGGCCAGGAGCCCACCAAGATGGCCGAAGTTGGCTCGAAGCTGGCAAAAGACGGCCCAAGAGGCCTCCAAGAGGGCCTCCAGGAAGGCCAGAAAAGGCCAAAACCCTTGACTGTCCTCATGTTTTTGAAGGATTTTGACATTTGCTTCTATTCTGCCATCCGAAGGCCCGATACGGCCCAAGAGCCCCCAAAGATCGCCCAAGAGGCCTCCAAGATGGCCCTAGAACGGCCCAAGAGCCCCCAAGACGGCCCCCAAGACGGCACAGGATGCGTTTGAGACACCAAGATGGCCTCCAAGACGGCCCCGAAGCGGCCCAAGAGGGCCCCGAAGCCCCCCAAACGGCTTCCGATGGCGTCGGACGGGCCAGGATCCCATCAAAACGGCAGAAGATGGCCCTAAGATGGCCCAAGACGGCCAAAGAGGGTCCCAAGAGGGCCTCCAGGAAGGGCCGAAAAGACCAAAACAAATGATCTCCCATAAGATTGTGAAGGATTGTGGCATTTGCTTTTGTTTCTGCCTTCCGACGGCCCGAGACGGCCCAAGTGCCCCCAATGATCGCCCGAGAGGCCCAAGACGGCCCCAAGAGGCCGCCAAGACGGCCCAAGAGGCCTCCAAGACGCTCAAGATGGCCTCCAAGACGGCCCAAGAGCCCTCCAAGACGTCCTCCAAGAAGGCCTGAAAGGGTCAAAATGGCCTCTAGACGGCCAAGATGACCTTCAAGATGCCCACGTGTTCCCCGAAGGCTTTCCAAACCGACTCGGGGAACACATGGTCCGATAGCTTGGCAGGTCTGGCCTCAACGTTCGGCTACATAGGCGCTTCCAAAACGGCAAGAGGCGGCGGAGATTCGCCGTAGGCGTCTTCAATACGTGCACGTGTGCACATACCATGCGTATTTTGCAATACTGCATTCGCGTCGAAGCATTCGCTGAAAGTGTAGAAACGGTTTCAGCAATAACACATACGCATAAATTCATGATGCGGTGCACCATCCCCGTTTGACTTAGCTATTCATGCTTGATTGTTGGTCTGCTGGAGTTCAGTGCGGCAGCACATGCTTAACCAATGGATGGCGCAATCGGTGGCTGCAACCCATGGATCGTGCAACCCATGCTTGGCGCGGCATGTGGGTTGTATGCCCATTTGTGGTAGTTTCTACAAGACTTCCTTCTACAACATTGCGTTCGAATTGCGCTCGCCGTTTGGGCTTGCGGTGGGGCCCAACCGGCGAGCTGCCTTGTGATTGTTAGTCTGCCGGTGTTCAGTGCGGCGTGGGACTGCCAACTCGCACGCACGACGTTGTTGGTTGGGCTGTTGCGAACACCCTTTCAGAATTGATTCGGGTTCAGAAAGCAGCACTGCAGAGAGGGAATAGGGCGGCTCCTACCAGCCTCTGTGCATGCACACCACCGACACGGCGCTGCGCCCACCAGTATGGGAGTGCGCTTGAAAATTATTGTCGCTCAAAGCTCTAGCCTACTGGACTTTGAGCTCGACGCCCTCACTGCCACAATGGTGCCACGCAAGACGCGGCAAAAATTGCCATGCGACTGCTTGCGCCAAGAAATCAGGGCAGACACGAAAGTCTCCGCCGCAGCAGCGCAAAGAGAGGACAGAGAGAGAGAACATGTACGAGGAGAGAGTGAGCGAGAGAGAAAGACAAAAAGAGAGAGAGAGAGAGAGAGTGATACAGCGAAGAAGAGAGAGAGAGAGAGAGAGAGAGAAACAAAAAAAAAATAGACATGGACGCTCCGAGCTGCTCACAAACTGCGAGCTGCTCGCACTTGATGGCCAAAGGCGAGGCTTGCCTCCAGCGTAGCGATCGGCATCGAGAGGGACCCTGAGCAACTGCACTGCCCATTGGCGAGAGAGATCCCACCAGCCCCCTAGGAGAGGGCGGTCCAGTGAGCTGGATCGAGAGAGAGAGGGAGAGAGAAAGAGAACTATGCTACTCCCGATCGGCCCGAATGCCGTGTCAAACTAGAAATCGGGGGAAATATTAGCCCATGCCTCCAACACCCGGGCGATTATGCGTCCGTCGTGCATGGATTGCTGCACGGGCAGGCGGGAACGGGACCAAGTGAGGGGGGGGGGGGGAAGGGGAGAGGGGAGGGGGAGGGAAAGGATAAGAAACCGTTCAGATCTCGTTCGAAAGCCGCGAGAGAGAGGGAGGAAGCGAAGAAGAGAGAGAGAGAGAGAGAAACAGAAAAAGAAAGAGAGAGAGAGAGAGATATAACATGGAAGCTCCGAGCTGCTCACACACTGCGAGCTGCTCGCACTTGAGGGCCAAAGGCGCGGCTTGCCTCCAGCGTAGCGATCGGCATCGAGAGGGACCATGAGCAACTGCACTGCCCATTGGCGAGAGAGATCCCACCAGCCCCCTAGGAGAGGGCGGTCCAGTGAGCTGGATCTGCGAACCCACTTCTTCCCCTCGGGGGGAGACTGATTGAACGTCTTCAGAATCACCAAGTTAGCTGCAAGTTGGCTGGCTAGGACCAGTCAAAAACGGTGGTACAGAACGTCACAGGATTTAATGACCTGTGGAGCCATTGAATCAAAACGCTTTGCACAAACTGGGGCAACAAGCCCTCCAACGTCCCAACATACGCGTAGCAGGTTCGGATAACCTTTGCGAGCGAACGCGCATGTATGCGAGAATAAAAGCGCTGAGGACAAGCGAAGGTAGCTCACCTTCCAGGCGAACAAAAAGATTTCGACTCCGTCCAAGTATGCGTTGTAGGGCAGAGTTGAAGTAGGCAGGAATTAAAACTGGGCTGAGCTTAGGCGGCACGGCAGGTCATTCGCGCGCCTGGCAAAGCAAGAGTGAAACGCAGTTTGAGAGGGTGGCGCCGAACGCACCCAGGACCATCAGGACCAAGTGCTTGCCGCGCCCCAAGGCCCTTACGCGCGCCGATAGGCATGCGCGCATCACCCACAGAAACGCGGCCGACACGTGTCTGGATTATTCCCCCTTGCTTGGAGGAAGGCCGACTGAGATAGGTTCCTCCCCCCCCCACTCGTCCGACCAGAATAGAAGCCTAGTTACACGCGCCTGGCTAACAGCAACTCCAACGCGTCGGAGGCGCTCGCCCTACGGAGGGGCTCCGGCCTCAGCAAGGCCTCCAGGCACGCCAACGACGCATCGTCGTGCACGCCGCCCATTCTCGCCATCGCCTGGGCGTGGGGGCCGGCTTGGGCGAAGAACTCGAGTATCATCCGCACGGCCTGCGCGAGCGATGCGCCAAGGCGCCACCGCACCGACAGCTTGAGCGTGCCCTGCCCGCCAACGGCCTCAAGGAGCACCACGCCTAGGCTCCAGCAGTCTGCCGGCTTGGGCCAGTACGGCTCCTCCAGCGCTGTCTCCGGAGCGGCACACGGGAGAGAGCCGCACAGGCCCTGCCGCGTGTGGCCGTCTGGAATGCGGGCTGCCATGCTGAAGTCCACCAGGCGGCAGATGAGCCGATGATTCGCCATCTCTACCGACACGTGCCTCGGCGACACCTGCCCGTGAGTAACATCATTGGCGTGGCAATGAGACAAAGCACTCGCGACCTGGATGGTGCAGTCCAAGGCATCGTCCCTGGACAAGCGGTAGCCTGGATGAGTCGAGAGCACCTGCTCCATGCATGCGTCGCCGCCGTACTGGAACACCAGGTACACGTGGGACTGGCTGTGCAACATTGCTAAGCAACGGATGATGTTTGGGTGGTCGAGGGTGTGCTTCAAGAGGCAGAACTCCTGGTAGATGCTCTCCACCTCCTCGGCAACCGTGACGCTACGCTTGTTGCGCATCTTGACCAAGACATTCTCGTGCTGCCCGCTAACCGCCAAGCAAATGTGTTCATGACTTGTGTACTGTCGCACCAGCTGGAACTCCCCGATCTGGCCCCCTCGTTCCAGCAAGCCCCCGTCTAGAGCAGGGAAGCCGGGCATCAGCAACTTCGGGATGGTCTCCCACAGAAGACAATCGTGTTCCTCCTCGATGGTCTGGCACTCGCCGGAAGAGAGTCCTTCCGTTATCAAGATGCTGTCGACGCGTTGCTGGACCACGGTATTCTCCATAAGCTGCAGACGTACCTTCTGCTGCAAGCCCTGCGGGTCAACCTCCAGCTCTATCAGCACGCCGCTCGCCCCAAAGCTGTAGAGCGCATCATGCCGCACCATCAATTCACGGAGGCAGTCCTTGGTCAGCTCGGTACCGAACCGATCTGGCAACTGCACTAAAAAAACGAACGCGTCAGGGTGCGCGGCCCTCAGATAGCCCAAGAGACGCGTCACCCCCCCCTGCTCCTTCTTCGTCTTGTACACGGACGGGATTACCACGGCCTCGTGCTGCTCCTGGGGATACCAAAAGGTACCGATACCGCTACTCCCCAAACCTCTCCCGGGATGCGTTCTGACCAGGGCTTCGAGGCGAATCCGGCGGTGGCGACGAGGGCCGCCCAGGAGACCCAAAAAGGGGAAAACCAAGATATGGTAAGGGTATGGGTACCTTTTCCTGCTCTGAGCTCCACCATCTGGGCGATGCTGTCCCGGCTCATTTCTCCATAGCCTGCCTCGGGGGCCAGCACGTTGGCTGGCTGGTCCTGCGAGCTCCACGGTATCAGGGTCAAGAAACCGAAGGCAGGCGCACTAGGGGCGACGCTTGAGACGTAATCCGATAGCCCTTATAACGGCGACGAGGCGACGATCGAAAGCAGTGCCCCGGCACTGCTTTGAACGCGTTCAAAGCAGTGCCCCGGCACTGCTTTGAACGTATGATATGATGATATGATGATGATTATGATTGATGATGATGATGATTTTTCCAGCGTACACTGTCCGCAACTGCGGCAATCAACATCATGCTCCACTTGCCCGCAACTGCGGCCATCACCAACGCTGCGCCTCGAAGCTCCACGGAGGGCGCTCGGCAGGTCGCCCGCTCGAGCCCCACTCGACTTCACGCTGAGGAGGCGAGCCCTCAGGGGCATTGTCCGCAACTGCGGCATGATCAGAGGGCCACCACTGCGCGCCATCAGCGCCCCATTCGCTCGAGCTCCAGTCCCACCAGGACCAGCCCTGCCATCTCGTGGCGGGACTGCGCGCCTCCCATGCGCCGCTGCCGCTGGCGTCCCAGGACCCAGCCGCCACTGCGGCACAAGAAGGGGTCGCATCGTCGCCGTTGGCAGCTTGCGGCGGTGGCGTGTTCCCAGCTCGCTCAGCCCCAGCGTCTCTCCCCGCAACTGCGGTTCCCATCTGGGGTCGGACGCCCTTCCCCGCAACTGCGGTGTCCGCGTAGCTGCCCTTCTTGCCGCCCTTCTTGCCGCCCTTCCTGCCGCCCTTCCTGCGTTCCAACCTCGCGGCGAGTCTTTCAGGTGACCTGCGGCACGTATTGTGCGTGAAAGCCACCAGAGGGAAGTGCGCTCCGTGCCTCGCCCTGCCGAAGGCGCCATGCCATATCTTGTCGTCGAGGTTGCCCTGCTTCACTCTGAAGGGATAGCGCACCCAATCGTCGCGTTCCCTGCGCGCCATCCTTTGCTCGAACTCCGCATCTGCGGTCAAGGATTCGCCAGATGGCGTCAGGAAGGCGCGCATCTTGTTTTCAACGGGCTCAGCCTTGGGCACGTAAGTCTGAAGCATCTTCCCAGGGCCATTCGTGTAGTCGAAGACAGGGAAAGACGGATCATGCTGGGTCGTCAAGAATCCGCCCTCACGGTCGTGCAGAACACTCAGGCCATGGTGAAGCTTGTACTGCCCAGGACAGCTTATGAACAAAATCGCCATGCTGTCTGCCCTGGGCTGGCCGCCTGCTGTCTTCCAGGGGGTCCACGCGGCGACGTCCACAGTCAGGCCGCAATTGCGGCACCAGGACACAAGCTGGAACATGCACATGTTGAAGTCCCCCATGCAGACCTTCACGTCCCATTCCCTGACGTAGGCGACGAACCAGTTGTAGAACTCATGGAGCTTCGTGACGCCCCAGTCTTGGTTGGCCAAGCTGTGGTGGACGTGCACCGCCATGACGTTGAAGGAGCCCCCCAAATGGGGCACGGCCTGGTCCAGGTGGACGCGCACCACCATCGCCCTGGAGTACTTGTTGTGCAGCTTTGGCGCAGGAGCCTCCGCAACTGCGGACTGTTTCTTCTTCTTCTTCGTTTTGGACTTCTCCTGCTTGTGGAAGAGTCTCGCAAAGTCTACGTGTTCAATGTGGCCGCCACTGCGGTCCCTCATGCCAACAAGGAGGGTCCCTGATGGCTCGCCGCCCTTAACGCACAGGTAGTTGTATTGAGTCCGACTCCGAAACCTATCGTCCGCAACTGCGGCTGCACTGTCCCTCGCGTCGTGCTCCCCACTGAGTACCGCGCAGGTCTCGTCGTCGCACTCGCAGAGGGCGATGATCTGGGCAGGGTTCGCGCGGAGCTGCGCCCACTCGTCCGCGCGTTGCGTGGGTCTAGCTGCAGTCCCTCCGAAGTTGGCCACGTAGAAGCCGACCCGTCCCGCTTCGAACTCCGTTTTCTCCTCCCATGCGTCGACAAGAGCTCTTTGTTTTTCCGACAGATTGCTTGTCTCGATGATGGGCACCCGTTTCCAGGTTCTCCGCGACGACAACACTCTCGGCATGTAGGAGTCATGTGCTGCCGCAACTGCGGCTCCCGCACCTCCCCGGGACTCAGCCTCGTCAGCGGAGGCAGCCGAGGACGCGACGGTGCTGTCGCCATCTTGCGTCCGCTGGTCGTCGTCATCATCCGCAACTGCGGCTTCCTCGTCTTTGCCTCCCTCCTCCTCCTCAGCGTTGTGGATGAACACCGTTCTGGCGAATCGAAGTCCACGGTCCATACTCCCTGAGGATGCGCTCGGGCGCGCGGGCGGCCACATGCTTGCGTCTTCGCGTGCGCCACCTCGAGCCACGGTGGCTACGGAAATGGATCGTGAATGGGCATGGGGTCGGATGGAGGGAGGAGACAAAGAGGATTCGAGGAGTGGCAGAAGGAGGGCGAGGACTCAAAGGAACCGAAAGAACAACAAATGGACTGGCGGAGAAGCAGAAGGAGGGCGACGATTGCAAGGGACTGTGAAAGGATTATTTTCACAGCAGCAGGAAGACCGCAACTGCGGTTTTGCCTCATCTCCTGCCCGCGCGGGAGCCGCTTGGAAAAACAACTTCCCTCTGGACTTCCTGTGGGTCCGCAACTGCGGCCTGCATCACGCTAGGGCTGGGATTACCAGCGCCATTTGCCCTCCCAGGGTTCTCACTGTTTCCGAATGCACGAACTGCGACAGCGCCGAACGGTTCCCAGACGCCGCGTCGTTCGCGACTTTTTGCAGCCACCCAGCAAACGTGAGCGGCCATTGCTCCTTGTGCTGCTTGCACATCTCCTCGTCCCAATGCGTCTTGAACCATGCCCACTCCCCCCTCTGCTCGTCTGAGAGGGCGCCTTTTCCGCGAGCCAGGCGATCCAGAGCTGCCATCCTGTTTTTCTTGATCTTGAACTCCTCGGGATTCCACTGCGCTAGGGCGTGTTTGTTAGCCAAAGCCGTTTCCACCGCAACTGCGGCCTCCTTCTTTGCCCTCAAGGCGGCCTCGGCCTCTCGAATCTGCTTCTTGAGATCGTGCAACGCCTTCGTCCTGTCGTTCGCTTCCAGAGCCAGGCGCCGCTTTTTCGCCACCACTGCGGCTTCGTGGTCTCGCTGGGCAGTCAACGCTCGTAGGACCTCGTTGTCCTCCCGCGCCAGCTCTCTCAACCGCTTCTTTTGTTTGTGTCGTTGCTGTCGGCAATCCTGCGCTAGTTTCTCCATGCCCACTTGGCGCAGCATATCTTCCGCCTCGCGGAGCGTTTCTGCCAAGGACGTCGCCACTGCCACCTGCTCGGCCGCCTCTGCGTCGACCACGCAGTCCATGGATACCGAGGATCCTTGAGGCCCAGGTGCCGCAACTGCGGCATCGCACTGTTCCGCAAGAGCCTCGGCCCACGAGGCCTCCTCTTGCTCTTCGTCCTCCTCGTGCTCCTCGTGCACCTCCTCCTCCTCCTCCTCCCCGCCCTCCTCATCGCCCTCCTCGTGGCCTGGCTCCTGGCCTAGCGCTTCGTCGCCGAGCTTCTCCAACACGGAATCTGTGGCGTCGTGTTTCTCGTATTCGTGTATGAGACGCAGCACGTCATTGTAGGACCATTTCAAACGTTTCTGCTCGCATTCTTCCCTCACCTCCGCGACTGCGGTGTCCACTTTTGCTCGCAGCCCCCCTGCTTCCCAGAGTTCCGCCGCCTCTCGGCAAATCTCGAGATCTCCTGACTTGTCGAAGGGCGCTCGAATTCCCACTTTCAGGAAACCTTTCGCGGCGTCCAAGTGCAACTGCACATTCTCCAACACTGACAGCATCAAGTCGGCGCAATCGGAACGCCGCAACTGCGGCACGTGCTTCCCCAACGCCATTTGCTGCACCAGCGCTTTGGTCTCGAGGGCAATGTACCGGCGCTTCACGTGCTGGTTCAAGTCCGTGTCCACGGGCTGCGCAACTGCGGTCGTCCCCCCGCCGTGAATGATCAGCACGTAGCCGCGCTGCCAGGCGAGTCTCCGCACAGCGTCTGCTTTGTGCGGGGAATGGTCGTCGGCCATGAGGATGCGCCACTTTCCCCGCAACTGCGGGTCGTCGGGCCAGGCCCGCAAGTGCCGCTGCAAGAATGATACAACGTCGTCTGCGCGGTAGGACCCCTTCTCGGACGTCGCCGTGCTCACCCAAGACGGATAGCCGCGACTGCGGGCATGTGCGGCCAAGCCCTCAGCGATGACAGATCCCCCCTTGAACATTAGCTCCGCCGGCGGTGGTCCGCAACTGCGGATGTCCTCCGCGTCGCTCGACACCGTCAGGTTCGCTGTCCACCGAGCCCTGCTGTCGTCATGCGCCTCGACAAGCGGGACAATGCCACCCTTCACAGCCAAGGTCGGCTTCGAGGCCGACGACGACTCGTTGTGGTGAAAGGGCGACTGGTCCCAGTTCAGGATGTGCGGGTCGTACCCCAGAAGCTCCTCTGCAGCTGCGCGGACCCTGGCCACGTTCAAGATCATAGTCTCAAAACGAGATTGGAGCAACCATTTTGGCACCTTGTACTTGCGGTTCGGCTTCTTCATGCTCAGGCCGTAGGAGCGCCGCCACTTCACCCACCACCGAGGCCGCAACTGCGGCACCATCGGTTTGCCTCCCCGCTTCATTGTCTCCACGCAGTAGTCCGCGACGAGTTGCTTCGCCTTCGTAACCAGCAGGGATTGGGAGAACCTGGCCAACATCTTGGGCCTCTCCTCCGCAACTGCGGTTCGCTTGGCCACCGCCTTCCAGTCCACGGAGTACCTCATGTGGGACCACCACTCGTACAGAGCGGCTTCCAGCCATGGAGCCTTGTTCGGGCGCCCTTGGTTGCCCCGCGCGCGGCGTCGGCCATGCACGCCCGCCGTGCCATGTCCACCTTGTGTGCGCCAGTTTTGAAACCACTTGGAGACGGCCTGGCGCTGCTGGACGACCCCCATGCCCTTCGGCCACGTGAACCGCTCGCAAAAAGACGCGATTGAATTCCGTGGCAGAACGCCCTCGCCCATCCAACCACAACTGCGTGCGTGCGCCTCCAGGTCTTTGCAAACCAGTTCGCGGTCTCTGAGCATGTGCGGGCACACGCGCCGCTTCTGTTCCGCAACTTCGGGTTTTGGGCGTGCGCTGGCCAGTGCGTGCGCCCTGATCTGCTCCTCCTGCAA